GGATACCAAGGGCACCGCCCCCCGGCCCTAGTGGGGGGGGGGGTCAGGTTTGCCCCCCCCCCCCCCCCCACTCGAAAACAAGTTGGTACGCCACTGGACGGCGCAGTTATAAAACGAAGAAAGACGCCCTAAGAGAGAGTACGCAGGCTGTCTTCTGGTTGATGCGTTATAAGTGTGGCCGCGCATAAACGCAAGTGCTGAACGCGTGCGACGTCATCGACTGAGATACAACACCTTGCATTGCACTGAGGCGCGTTGTGCGGACTTTGGTTGCCATAGCAGCCATATCTCGTAATCATGAGCGCTCGTAACGCAGTCGGTCGGGCAGAAATGTCTGAACTAGTCTTGATCACGCACCTGAACTTGAATACTACACGGAGGAATTAACACATCTATACTCAACTCCACCTAAAAAAAAAAAAAGAAGAACGCAAGTTTTGCCCATTGTTTATACGCTGCGCGAAGTAGTTCTTACACTATTCGGTTGTTGAAGGAAGAAGCAATGCTTTCGGCGTTTGAAACGTGAACGTCTTGATAAGATGACCTATAACTAATCGAAAATGCACCTACGCATTATCTTCACTTTCTAGTTTCTACATAAAGGTAGAAATTAGTAATTTTCCGCGGGGAGCTGAACTTTTTTAGTTTTACTACGGTTTTTCGAGGTGGAAACGAGTATAGAGTTACTATAGAAGCAGAGTTTGCCACTTTTTACGTCGTAAATATAGAGTATTAATGTTTTGCGGCTGAGACACGGGTTCAAGGCGAATCGTGTTGAAATAGTGAGGGAGTACGGCTTCTTGGCAAGGGCATTCGAAATAAAGCTTAATATTTAACAAATCGGCGCACTTTCGATGGTCGAGACATAAAACGCATCGAGAGGATCTCACCAAGGAAGTGACCTTCTTTCGTGTCCAAGGATGCAGCGGGCGGGAAGGTGTACGTCACTGAAAGTTGCGAGTCGAGGGGGGGGGGGGGGGGGGGGGGGGGGGGGGGCAACTGTCTTTCTTTTTTGATTTCAAGGTCCCGGCGCAACACAAAGCGAATGTCGCGACCACAAATGCCGCCAGGGGAGGCGCCAGGAACACGGAACTGTCTCCAAATGTACAGGAAAAGAGGACGAATGAAGAACGCACCGCGTAAAAAAATTAAATGAAAAAGAAGAGGACGCACTCTAGGCCGAAAGAAAAGATGCGCAAAGAACACATCGCACGACGTGAACTCGAGAACTATTAGGCACGAGCATTAGGCTTCAAAAAACACGGAAAGTTGCGATGCTACCTCCACTACCTTCTGCGTCCTTTATGCACACACACACACACACACACGCACACACACACACACACACAAATCGAAAATAAACGCAAAACCACACAGCTAAGAGAGAGAGAGAGCGGTGGGAGAGACGACGACGCGCGCGCTAGGTCTTCGTAGAGGTGACGGATATTTTATTTTCGCTTCTTTTTCAAAAAGAAAAGTCGCCTTAATAAGAAAAGAGTCTTCCAACTGTCTTTTCAGGCAGCAGTGAAGAGTGCACACGCTTACGTATTCGGTGAACTCCTCCGAGCCCATCACACGCCGCACCAGGAAGTCGGTTTTTGCGGTCAGGTTCGTCTCTTGGCGAGCTCTTGACGTAAAATGCACGTGCGCTTTTTAGTCACGAACTCTGTGTAGAGGTTGACGGGACCACTTTTGTCAGTCGAGTTTCGAACTGCCGTTACGGTTCGCAGGTGGCTTCCCCTACGCTCTTTCTTTTTCCTTTTCTAGGCAAATTGGCTCATGCCACGGATGGATCAACTTTGAATTTAAGCCAAACCTCTCGTAACCACTGTCGAGATCGCTGGAAATATACGTTGACGATCAGTCTCTCACTAAGCCTTCCGCGAGGGAAAACTGAAATTGTCATAGTTTTTTTTCCATTTCTCAACTGAAAGGCAACAGGGGAAGGCGGACGTAGCTTCAATGTTCTAGCCATCATTCAGGCATAGCTCCGATAACACGAAGGCCAAGGGAACTTGCTGTTACTCCTCATCTAATACTTAGTTCGTGTTCACATATGGGACATCAAAGCTACTCTAGGCGTACGCCGATATTGCCAGTAATTTATGTTATCTAAGGGGTAACATTAGAGACACCAGTTTTTAGTCAGTGACATTAAAAACTTCGAAACAGCTGATTTGGTAATCCAAAAAGCCTGAGAATCCCTCCTACCTACTTTAGTTTTAGCGAGCAGTATTTGTCCAACGACCGAAAGCAGCGCAGCCATTTTTATGCGTCTGCAACTTGAAAAAACAAAGCGTGATTAACTTGAATCCTCACCTGGACTTGGTACTCAATAATACGTTTGAACATGAAGATAGGAAACAAGCAGAAGCCTTAGTCAACCGAGAAAGCATGTTAGCTTTAAACACCCGTATTTCTTGGCTGCCAGCGACATTGAGCAAACACTTGATACGCCCGACTGCAACCAAACTTCCCAAGTATAAACAAAGCCACATCAGAACATTGCCATGGCTAACGAGATCACACGGAGTTCTAATTTCGGATTTCTTCAGGAAAATACAAGGATTCTGCTTCAATACTTTACAATAGATTGGTACCTTTTATGAAACGTCCCACTGAAGCTTGTATCTAAAGCCGGGGTCACATTGCTCATGCCCGAGTCCCGCTAGAGCGACAAACAGAAACAAGCGACAGGGGCAACACTCAAACCAGAGTCTTTCGCGATTTGACAGTCTTTGTAGAATAAAGAAGGCTACGCTCAAACACGAGCATCATGAACGCGAAGGTATCTTTGGCAGGCTTGCAATCGCTCGTGCTTACTTCACCAGCACCGAACGACTAAACGCCTGCCAAAGGTACCATCGTGACCATGCTGCATGTGCTTGAGGCCTGTCGCTGTCATTTGTTTTTGTTTTTCGCTCTATTGGTACTCGGTCATCATACAACATACGAAAGACAGTCTACAAACACGAGTCACCTGTAATATTCGTGGTTCGAATGCCGCGTGCCAAGTTTTCTCCTTGAACGCGTTGCCATGCGGCATTCGAAACAGGGACCTCGCGGTGAATCGAGTTCGAATCTGTATGCAGCTGTCTTTTGTATGATGTATAAGCAGTGCGACCGCGCCTTAAGGGTGTTTCTCGCTCGATTGGTTTTGATTACTGAGTGACATATACCAACCCATGTTTAGACAAGTATGCTTTGTTGTTCTTTTTAAAACAAACTTTTTAACCTGTAATATTCGGAGGAAAAACACGCCTCCGATGACGGCTAAGTAGCCTTTAGTTACGATTAAAAAGGAGGCATGTATTGTTTGATAAATTTTTTTTAGGTTGATGGTGTATATGGTTCATACCGGCATGAGAGAAGACAATAGTAAGACTTTCATAATAACACGAGCGATAACGTATCTCCAAAATATAGCAGACACTTGGGCATTGTGATACGGCCGAAACTGGGGGAAAAAAGGGGACGCTGACGAAACCATCATGTGTTGCCTTCTTACCCTTCTCGGGTTTTTCACGATGCTCAATGTTTACCAAATAGCTCGTGTCCTCACCATTATTTCAGCACACACGTGTTTCTTAATAATTTTTGCTTGTAAAACCAGTGAAAGGCAATTCACCACTAGAAATCACGTGACATGAGCATAGACAAGTTGTACGACAAGATGACGGTTTGCCTCTTGACACCAGACATGACAGCATCTTTGACAACTTATATAAGGGTTCATAACAAAAACTGTTGTCGTTTTGTCTCTAAAATGCAGTGGTATTGGTCCACTGTCTGGGGAACCTGGTATGGCTATATGTAAATGACGAACTAAGTCGAGCATTTTACAGCGAAGCTGTATATGACTCGTTGGGGGGGGTTTTCGTGTCCGTCGACAGAACAGTAGTCGACACATGAAATAGTCGACGGAAAACCCACGCGCGCGCCTTATTTCTTATCATGTGGTTTTGACACTTGTTTCAATAAGAAAGCCACAAAACAAGTGTCAAAATTACGTGATAGATGATATGCACGTAGCGCTCCCCGCATGCGTTTCGCGGTAAAAATTGAGGTTGCATAAGCTGCTGCGGTGACGGCAGCGTACGAAGTCTTTCATATATACAAAAGTTTTGGTACAGTGCATTTATTTTTCTTTCGTCAATCATTTGGGATAGATCCTCCTGTTGTTTACAAACATCAACTTCCGCTTGCGTCCCAAGCGACTTGCGGTCGCGCAGTCTTTGCAAACCTGTTCAGCTTGCTTATGTCACTAGCGCTAGAAAGCATAAATACTACACGGACAACCAAGTTGGAGATATAACGAGGGCCTTCGGCTGTACAGTATTACACCTTGGAGGAAGCAAGTCGGTTTACAAGAATACTCGAAACATTTTAACAGATCTCGCATTCCTTCGTTCTTTTGACGTTTACTTGGAAAGTCGACGATTAAGCGTTTCATCTATATTTCAAGCAGCGGTGTTAAGATAGCCTTTGTTCATTCAAAAAAAAAAAAAAAAAATGAACGAGCGACTTGCGTATGTGCTTGTGAGGTGCGCGCACATTTTCTGTCCAAACAGATCAAACCGGTGAATTAAAAAAAAAAAGTAGATTTTTGTAATCTTGAAATTCCCCCAGCTCTCGTCTGTCTTCAGAGTTCAACATACTTGGCTCGTTATATGGCTTCACAGTTCGTTCCGAATTGGTACGACATACTCAGTCGGAGGGTCCCACATTGCATTAAGGCAGCAATTGAGTGTATTCGGACAAAAACACACAACTCCTTATTCTCCCTTCGGCCTTAAGCTGAGACTTCAGCCAGTGCCACAAGCAAGAAATATCGAGGGGAACGCTTAGAAGCGTTCTTCCACAGAACCAGAGCTAGCGCTAGAAATGCACGTCTCAAAGCCAGGGGCGTGGGCTAGCTCGCGCTTGCAGCTTTAAACAACAATTCAAGCGCACGAGAGACGTGTCTAACGGTCCGCAGCATAAACAACATCGGCCCTCACCTTGCCGTCGGTGGAAGATCTCAACTTGGGCAACGTCGTGGTCGTGCTGGATCTGTTCAGGCCACCGCGACGTGCGAGTTCCCACAGGGCGGTCGAATAGGTCGACGAAAGCGGCAGCACAGTCAAGAGTCCCGGCCTTCCGCCGCGCACAGAAGCCATGGGGGACAACAGAGAATGATCCTGTCCCTCGCTGACGGGAAGGACCGAGAGTCTCGCTTGCCCGATCACGACGAATTCCGCGAGAAATCCATGCTTGCTGCAGGTTGTCCCACCTCGTCGCGGAAGGATAAGCACAGAAAAGTTTCCGACACTAGTTCCTGCCCATACCCTCTTCCTCTGAGACGTTTTGGCATACTACTTCCTGCCTTCAATCTTCGCGAACGAGTTCCACTGAGTTTGTTTACGAACGCTTGGTTTAGTCAGACTCTGGGGGGTGCAGTGACTTAAAGAAAAGTCACCTTTTTGCCTTCTTTTTTAGGAAAAAAAAAAAGCGATTAAACAGAGTTATTGTTGTTTTGTTTTTTTTCCTTTTGCGTTGGCTTCTTATTGATGATGAACTCAGATAACGGTTTCCGCCGAGCACGAACTGCACTTCATCTTGAGAAAGGGCAGGCTCGGGAGAAGACAACCAAGCGATAAAGTCTTTGGACGTCGTTTGAGACTTTTATTACCTCAATGTGGTACGCTGTGCTCGAACGGCTCTCGAATCATGATACGGCAATATAGCTATCGCCGCTGACGCAATCTCTAAAAAATCTCCATTCATTGTAACGCAACGGTTCCCTCGGTGCAACAACGGCTCTCCCAGAAACCGACCATGCTACTTCCGGTCACTTCGGCGTGTAGCGCTCGTCTTCGGTGCAATTGTTCAAGGGGGCGTACTCTTTCGATTGCAGTGCTAAGAAAGAGTTTTGCAACGTGCGTGCTCTTCACAACATGACCGTTACAATCACCGAACATTCAATCCTGTTCCTTCTTGTCCATGGAATTCAGTGGCGACAAAGCCTTGCCCGAATCGCGCGCACGTGAAATCTTGTCTAACGCAGTGTCACAAAAGCTTCGAGGTGTTATCCTTCCGACGATCACACAAAGGTTCATCGGCGCATCACTTCGTGGGAAACGTCGCAGCTTCTACGTTAACACTTGTCCCCAAGTCTTTCCCGGCTTAGAGAACCAAACGAAGGGCTACATCCGGGCTCTACCTCACTGGGAAGAGTAGTAGCGGTACATGCTGGGGAAGAGCGCGTACGCGCTCCAAAGACCCACGTTCGAACCGGTCGTCCCCACGGGTGGTCGCGCGCACCAGTGACCACGCTTCCACAATCATACGATATGGGGCACCGGTGCGTAGGCAGACGACTCCACGTGCCCTCCCTCCCGCGGGGGCACACACAGCACAAACACACGGGGTTACACACTCCCAGACGGCAAGCACTGTCCGTCGTCGCGGCGCACTCACGACGGGGCGGGCACACGTAGTCCACGTGGTTGCGGTCGGATCCCCGAAAACCGGCCGACTTTCTTCGCTGACGGCGAGTCGGCGAATGTTTGGGCAGCGCGGGACGCGATGCGCCGCGCGCGCTCCGACTCGGGGAGGAAGGAGAGGAGAGGTTCGCTTCCTGTGTACGCGCGAGCACTTCCTCAAACAGAGACTTCACGTCCCGCGGAACGAAATAGTCCAACAAAAACACGGCGCGCCGAGCGGGGAGACCCCTCGGAGGAGCGGCCGCGCCGACATCGAGAGCAGAAAGAAGAGAGCCAGCAGCTCTACATTCCACCGATGCCTCCCTCCTCCTCCTCCCCCTCCCACATCCTTCTCATCTCGCCTGGGGACGTTTATTCCCTAGGGACCCTCGCAGTCCGGTTTCTAAATATTCCACCCAAGATGAACCGCGGAGCGAAGGCACGCACAGACACGAAGACTCGCAAAAATTTGATTAATTTCTGACGCTTTGATTGGTGGACAACGTAGTTGACTGGCAGGACAACGTAGTTGATTGACGGCAGTTGGTCGGTCCCACCGGCTGACGAGCCCAGCAACGTTACGCGTTCGAGACACGGGATTGCTCCGGTTGACTCCCAGCTTTCGGTGGTTCATCTTTGCGATAACGGGAAGTTTAGGTTTGCGCGTAGTATATATCTTCGCGCGCGCGGTAGGCTTCCGGGACACGCAATATAACGGTGCCCTGATTAGAGAGTTTCACTGGTACGTTTCATCGAAGGTAATTATCTCGATTTTTCATCGAAGGATTCGCTCCGAAATTAATGGGCCCTGTTCGAGACGCACACTCAAGCGTATATGCTTGCCACCGAGTTCGAACGCACACAACTCATTAACTTACTAATTAAAAAAAAGAGTGCAAGGAGGTGAACGGTACGACTCTAAATTAGATGGAATATGTGTGCGAGAAGCTCTTCCGCGCGAACGACACCGAACGAGGTCTTCTTCCGCGTTCTCGGTCGAATTGGCACGGGATGGTGTTGTGCGACGGATTGGCAGTGAACTGAAATGTAATTACCGGTCCGTAGGAGAAACACCTGCTGTGAGAACGGTGTGCGAAGCGCACCATGTGGTCAGTGAATGTCATTAATATTTACGAGTTGTTTTCCGAAAGAACGTTTTTGTTTTAACTTTTTTTTTTCTCTCTCTTTCAGATAGATGTGGTGGTACGATACGCAATTCAAGCGATTTTGCGATCGTTGGCATAACAACGATATTAATTGGTCTCGCTTCATGAACGAGCACTTAATGTCGTTTCTTTCTTGTTAAGGTTTTCACGCCTTGTAAACAGTTCAGTGCTGATGACTCGCTTTTTTCAACGTTTTGCTTTAGTCTATATGCTTTCATAATAACCAATGAGAGAGATGAAACATTTGATGTTCCTCGAGAAACTGGTCGCCCTGATTATGGCATCAGCAGTAAAACACAATTTTAAGATGCAATCAATTATTTAAAGTACTTCTCAATATCCGTGAGGGGAGATATAAATTGCGCGTCAAAGCAGTTTGCCCCCCCCCCCCCCCCAAAAAAAAAGGGGGGGGGGGGGGCAAGAGACAGGCAAATCTCATCCCTCTTGATTGCTTAAAGGCCTACGTAAAACCTCGTATTTCTGCAAGGAAGGGAATCCTCTTACCGCTCCCATCTCCTCAACTGCGATGGGAGCCAAGTTGAGGCAAGATAAAAAGTGGAGAGGATATGGCAAAGAAGGAGGCTGGCAAAAGTGGAAAGCGCGAAGTGTACCTTGTATGTCGGCCTTTAAGCGATATAAATACGTCCAAGTTTACCCTTATACTCGTACTTCGCTTTGACTTGAGCTGGTGGGCCCAATCAGATAGCGTCAAAAGCGCGCCATCGCGGTGTTCGTCATGTTTCACTACCTGATCTATCATCACTGAACCAATCATAAACAGATAAAGGTCCAGTCACGTGCGCTTTTGACTCTGCCTGATTGGTCCCTTACTTCCCATTAGCTCTGGAGTAGGCTGCGTGTCGACTTGATTGAAACGAAGGACAGAGAATGCAAGTTTAACAGCAAACACGATGGAGGACCTAATTTCCTAGTTTTCTCAAGGCAGACGTTTTCATAGCCTGCCGAGCTTAAAGCCGTTCAAAATGCGTCGTCCTTAAAGTCCAAAGAATCGCGAAAAAAAACAACAGCAGCAACAACAACGGCATCTGCGCGTTAAGAAGAAAGACGGGAATATAAATGGGGGACATTAAAGGAAGGGGCTTAGAAAAGGACAATGAACACCGCAGCTAACGAAACAAGAACCTACCGCCGCATTAGCAAGTTAGGTCGCCGCCCTCGATAAGCTAATTCCGGAATTGTAGTCAAGTTTCTTGTGTACCGACTTTTAAACAAAAGTAGATTGCTTGGATTGGTCGCCGCAGAAAGCATAACTCAGGAGACAAAAAAAAAAAAAAAAGCTTGACAAAAAACAAAAAAAAGTGCACAAGTAAAAAAAAAAAATTGGTTAATGAATTTTTTAGTTATCTAAGATAAAAATATGGTTAAAAAAAACAAAAAAACTTGCTGAGCGTTATCGCAAATCCCTAAATATTAGGCACTATTTGGAATCATTTGGTGCCCGTGGAAAGTGCGGTTGTACGATAGTTACCAGTAATGGAACACGCGCGAGGTTTGTGGTGCAAAAACACACCCGTGTGGTTTTTCCGTCTGTTATCAATTTAGGGTTGGGCGCCGACTAAAAACTTTAGCCCGATGAATCGCAACTTTGTTAATCGAATACTTGATCGATTATTCGGTTCCGTTCATTCCCATGTATAATAATTTTAAAACATTCAAATTACTTTTTTTTTTTTTTTCGCTGATTGTGTGATAAACGATGCAATGTACAATATCGAATTTAAAATCAACATTGAAGTGTAGTTGAGAACCCAGTCAGAGTCACCAACACTCACAAATAATTACTTCAGCCGTTGAAGCAAACAGGTTCTTTGATATTTTCCGGCAATAACGAACTCCCTTGATTGTTCCCAACGATCTCTGTTGCGCTAAACGGACAGTCGCACGGCGTTGAAATGGCTGGGACACCATTCCACACTTGCTTGGAGTTACAAATCTTGCCCCCATAGTTTAGCTTGGGTCAAAATTGTACCTAAAGTTAATTTTCATATATACACGTGTTCGTGTTCACGTCTGCTTAGTGACAGCGTTAAATGTTTACTTTTCTTTTTAGTGAAATTTAACCGATTAACCGGTTAAAATCATTAATCGAGATGAAAGCATTAGATTGAATCAATTAATCGGTAGGTTAATCGATCAGGTGTCCGGCCCTATCTTATCATGCGTGTTTTCACACAGCCAGCATTACGCCTGCTACACGCTTTAGCGCAGCGACGCGCTTCCCACGCGCCACAGATGTTTCCAAAATATATTTCCAGATGTTTCTAAAAATATATTTCATTAGTGGTTTTTCGATGACGCTCAGAAAGTTTCAAATTGAAGCCATATGTTTATTCTCACTAGTTAAAACTATCATTAACCAATTTCAGTTAATTATCAGACTGTTCGTTACGATTAGCCCCCTATAGACGCTTTGCAGAAGCTGCGCATGGGCGTCACAAAAATAAAACGACCTTCAGTTTTTGTTTTCCCTTATGTCGTTTATTTAACTTCATCATTACTACAGCAGGACAGGGTCTTGCCATTTAAGAATACACTCTGTGCTTCTCCCCGCGTTGGCCTTTGCGGAGGCTCGGCAACGCCCGCTTTAGTTCCTCGGCCTCTCAGTAAGAAAAGAGGAGGTCAGCAATGGCGGCTCTAATCTGGCGCGTGTGCAAAGCGTCTGCGTTGGGGACTCTTAGTAAACCGTTTCCGTGTTCCTTTTACCGCACTACCGGAGCCCTTGAAGCACGATTTTAAGCGCGTCCCGCGGTTACGGCATCACTCGGCCACTCGCTTTAAAGCATGCTTCAAAGGTTATGGTAGTGCGGTACGCAGAACAAGGCAACGGTTTGCTAAAAGTTCCTATTATGTCCTCCTGGCCGTATAACTCACCTAGAAAAAAACACATTAATGTAACTTTCACGATTTTTTTTTGTACAATCTGTAGAGCTTAATTACACCTCCTCTATGGATATATCGCATATCTCATTGTACATTTCTATGTTATCACTCTATGGTATTTATTTCCACTGCTTCCTCAATGAAGTTGCATTTCATTGAACATATGTGCTTATACGTTCTATTGGAATTGTCATCTTGATGTCACATTTCCAACTTCCTCTTGAAATAGCCAGTTTCTGAAAGAAACAAAATTTTTCTCATCACACGAAGTAAATCTGTACGAATGAGTTCTTCGCTGTTTTAGTTTTTTTGTTTTTTTTTTGTCTTTGTCTCGTGCATACAACAGGTGAAATTAATGTATTTGGATGGAAACCGGAGCCGATGTTAAGCAAACGCGCGGAGGAATTTCGATCCACATTCTCAATCACCGATAAGGCGGTAGTAGAAAAAAAAAGACCTATCATCTCCCAGAAGCACTTTCGTCATCATGCGTAAGACCTAAGAACCGTCCACTACAGCCTCGTTTCTGACCGACGTTTGTTGCGATCAAATGCATAGACAATGATCTGGCCACTGTCGACTCAACGAAATAGCATTTGCACGCACAGCAGTTGGATCCTTAGCGTAAGAGTAGATAAATTCAGCTTTCGATTTACCGCTATCGTGTCCATCGCGAGACAGGCGAAGAATATATGCATGAGAATAGACGGCGAACCTGGTGGTCTTCCCTCCCCTTGGCATCCAAGCGATGTATTTCGAGTTGCGGCAGCCATTAGCTTGAGAGATTAGTATCTCACGGTATCGCGTTTCAGTTGCCTCGTCGACGTGCATACTAATCCGACGAAAAAGGCTCCTCCTAGTGAATACTTTAAGCCTTGGCTTCGCAACTTTCGCAGCGAAGCTCTCGGAAGGTTTCGTCACCACTTGTCAACTTACCACATGAGTTTAGTTTTCCGAATATTTTACACCAAGAGCCTAAAGCGCGCCAATTGGTATGCAAGTCATGTGCAGCATCTAAGCTGGTATGTTCCATGTTGGGATAAAAATATGACCGAAACAATCTGGCAGGTAGTCTCGGCTTGTCTTACGACAGGAAGGCTGGGTTTGCGTTTGACGTAACCGCATGTTGGAGGAAGTCTTCTTTCAAAGGAAACTTTTCTCAGCAGCTAGGTTGATTAAATAGTGTATATTACCGCTGGCAAAAAAAAAAAA